AAGAGTGTTGTTTCTAACTTTGTGACTTTGGCATGGGATGCAGTTTTTTTTAATGAGTGTCCTTGTTATCATTTTATTTAGTCTTCTAAATATCATTATTTTTATTGGATTAAGTATTAGGCAGAGTGTATGATTTTCAACCGTCTTCACCTCTGTAATCCTTTTGTAACTTCTTTCATTGGTACATTGCATTAACATTCGTGTTTCATGTGATTTAATACCTTCTTATTGATTGATCCTTTGATTGCCAACTACTAGTGATCATGTGATTTATGATATATAATTGTAGGCAGAGAATGTACAGACCATTAATCTAATAATTATATTTATTTATTTATTTTACTACATAGCTACTACCAGCTAATCATAAATCATTAATCATACTGAAATATATATGAAACCATATATCTATAAAAAAAAGTATATTCTAATCTTTTTTTTCAAAATTATTTATTTATTTTTCAGCTTATTAAGCAAATTTCAATAAAATTATTTTATTCAATAAAATCTCATATCAGTTGTTATAATAATAATTTTGATATTTTTTTATCTAGTTAATTGCTCATAATCATTCAACATTACAAAAATTATATTTACAAAATCAATACTATGATTTATATGCAAGTTAAATCGCTTATGTTTATATCATTCATTTTTATAAATTTTGTTAAATGCAATATGCTCATTATCCAATGATTTTAAATATTATTATACATATATAATTTATATAATTTGATATGTGCACAAGATTTGATATTTTTTTGTGAAAGCATGACAAAATGAAAGTTTGTCTCCATTAAATTTATTCAACAACTCTACCATTTTATATCTCCGCCATAGAAAAAAAATGCACTAAACACTATAAATATCATAAGTTTAATGCAATTTATTAAATGAAATGAATTGTGCTCAACTTGTTAAAGTTGGATTCATTGGTTTGATAAGAATTGAAAATACATAGATATCATATGTTTATAGCGATTAAAGTTATTAAATGAAACAAATTGGGTGTGAGTTTACAATGATTAAAATTATTAGATGAAAAAAATCTATAGTGAAGTTTGAGTTCAATTCGACTCAGCTTGCTAAAATTTGAACTTAATTCGACTCGTTTGACAATAAATTCAATTCAAACTTTTTTTTTTTCAAAACAATAACAATTGAAGCCTGTTGAAAGCTTGTTTAGTTAACCATCTAAACTATGATTGAAAATAAATTTTTTATTGCTCGCCAATAAGGGTGATACTCGGAGCTTTAAAATCTTTAACCCACAGTCAGCTTCATATTTTTGTCACTTAAAGCTAAACCTAAGAATTAGGAAAATCCTCCAAGTTCCCAACAATGGAGAACCTCACCGATGAAGCTGCCCTCGACAACCACCCTCAGATTGCCCTCATCAACACCTTCTGTGAAATAACCGCCTGCGCTTCCAAAACCGAAGCCCTCTTCTTCCTTGAGTCTCACAACTTCGATCTCGACGCCGCCGTCTCCACTTTCCTCGATGATGCCGGCCCCGCCGCTGTCGATCCGCCTTCGCCGATGGTCCACTCTCAGTCGCAGTCTCACTACTCGCCATCTGAGTCGCCGCCCCCTTCTCGATCCCGTTCAACGTCGCCGCCGCCTGCCACCCGCGCTTACAGTCTCCGGTCCGTCGCTAAACCTAGAGCGGGAACCTCTGGCTCTGGTGGACGGAGACGTGGCGGCGGAGGTGGCGGTGGAGGTGGTATTAGGACTCTAGCGGATCTGAGTAGGAACCCTAAACACGAGGAGGATTCTGATAGCGATCCTGATTTTGATCCTCAGGAGTACTACACCGGCGGTGAGAAGAGGTAAAAGTTTTGATCTTTAATTCATCTTTGATTTCAATTTACTGGGTTCAGTGATTGATTGAGTGACACACTGACATTCAACTCTCCATAGTCCATACTCCTGTGGTATGAAAGGTCTTTTCTAATTCTTGTGAGTGGATGTTTTGTGAGTGATCGTGTCCCTGCTTCATTAACTGAAATTAATTATCTTTTTTGTTTTCGCAAAGCTAATGAATGTGTTTTTTCTGTAATTATGCACTCTTTATAGTGGAAATTTTTGTTTGAGGAGGACCTAGTCAGATTTTATTGTAAAACTGATTGCTAGGGTTTAAGAAATTAAAGGTTGGTTCAGGCTGCGGTGTTGTAGCACCAGTCCTTAACTTCATTGTATAATATGTGATTGATGTAGATGCTGTTGTGTTGTAATTGTAATTTTTGTTCAAGGTTTTAGGGTTTAAAAAAACGATGAAGCTTTATGCAATGATTTTTAGTGATTTGGAGTCTTCAGCTTGCTGGAAGCAACTCTAGCTTTATAGATAAACCTAAATGAGTTTAAGCTGTTTGGTGCCTTTGAAACTCAACATACACATAAAGAGCATAATATAGTTATGATCAGGTTAACTGCATGTCCCGTTTATTGCCCCTAGAAGATAGCATACTTAATTAGGAGAAGGCATAAAGTTTTTCTTGCTGAAATCTATCTGGATTCTTGATTGTATAGGCTCCAATTATCCAATAGATTCCAAGATATGTATTCCAAAGAATACTGTATTAAAGAGATAATGTGATGTTGATGCCGTGAAACATGATTTATTCAGCCAGAGTTGCAAACATTTCAATGAAATGGCTTATATTATTAAGTGACAGTTGAGAATACTATAAGTTAATTGTCCAATCTTTGAGAAGAACTGTTGTTTCGTTTGAATCAAAACATTCATCTCAAACTAGTCATGTAATATTTGTCGAACCATTTATCTACTTACTCGTGGTCAATGTCTTTACAAGATAAGCAAATTATTTTGAAGATTAACACAAGTTTATTATGTACTGAGTACCACTTTTGCGTTATACTTGTTTTTACGCCATGATAATTTTTTGTTACAGTGGGATACTTGTTCAGGATCCATCAAAAGCAACTGACATTGACGAACTATTCAATCAGGCAAGACGGGCGGGGGCTGTAGAAGCATCTGTTGAACATGGTATGCCTTCTTCAAGCTCAAGTAGATTTACCGGGACTGGAAGGCTACTTTCTGGGGAGGTGTCAGCTACCCCTGATCCGCCTCAATCCGTGACACACACTATTACTTTCTGGAGAAATGGCTTCACGATTGATGACGGGCCTCTTAGGAGGTTTGATGATCCAGAAAACGCATCTTTCTTAGAGGTATAAAATCCTTCCCTTTTGCCTT